CTGAAGAAACATCCGAAAAAGTCAGTTTCTGGGTGATTCAATAGAATCACCTACTGATTCAGTTATGCAATCACAGATGGATGCCACACTGATATGCATCTTTGGGTGAAAATGTGATGGAAGTGAAGACTGGTTGCCCGTCAAAATTTCCACACTTTCGATCTTGAGTGAGGGGCCTGCCCTCTCCAATTCCAACGGACGAAAATAAGACAAATACGTTGTCCTAGTACATACAATGTCGATACATATGGTCGAGTTGCATCAAGAAATAGCTTATTTATGTTTACTTATTTTAAATATGAATTGCTACGGTAACGCAAGAATATACATACCTATGCAGCGACGAAAAAATGTTGTCTTCCCGTGCTAACAGGAACCTTTTATTAATTCCCCTCGCCGGGAGGTCGTTCAGTGTAGGATCCCCAAGGAACGTAGAAAAGTTTAGCGGGGATGGTCTATGTCTCGTGTCTGCTCAAGTCTCGCTTCACGGGGCATGGGCGGTAGTCAGCACTGGTGACTTTGGCTAGGGTGTCTACATAGCGCTTGTGTGTATGTAGGCACTCTTGTTCTGGCAGTCGTTTGTTGCCATTTGCCGGGTTCTTTAAGCCGCCACAAGCGCACTCCATTCCTCAGGTGGGAATCGGCCGCGTACAACGGTGAGGTGCATCAGGGCAAAGTGAAGTATATAAATAGTTTCTAATGTATGCCCATGGCACAGTTGTGGGAGTCAATTAAATCAATCAGGTAGTTGCTACCGTCAGGGCTCCTATGCGAATTAGAATAATTGATGTTGGTTTCCCTGTCTCGTGTGTGGAGGTCATGTCAGCAGGTTTCAGTCTGTGATGGTGTACTTACTTTTTTCATTGGTGTCCAGTGTGTAACGTATGGATGCTCGTGAAAATATATTGAAATGCCCTCTGTATGGTGGATGTAGTGTTCGTCGCAGTGATTTATTGCGCGCACACACGCAGGTGACTGTTTTGAGGTGTGGGTTTATAAACGGTTGTGATTGGTGCGGCTTAATAATTTAACGGCTGGAGGAATTGCATTGCTGTTTTAAGCCTTGTACCGTAGTTGAGGGGGTCAAGCAGCCGCGTGTTCGATCGCGTGCCGAAAATGTCACATGGCAGACGGAGCGAGCATCAGCAAACGAATGCTGCTACGCCCGTTTATTGTGCTTATTAATGTCCTTGGTATATGTGAAACACCAAGCTGACATGAATGTTTCTCGAACAGTCGGCATTTGAATTGCAGTCCTCGGTCCGTTGTGATCGCTTATGGTAAATCAATTCGACCGACCAATGTTGTCACGAAAGGTTTCGCACCCCTCACAGCAGACGCGCCAACGATAATTGTGTTGTGTGTATGTTTATACAGTCGGAAACTGGTCAGCTTCAGTGGGCGCCTGGTGTTTCAGCTATAGATGCGAAATTCAGGCAGTGCGTTACAACCATTAGCCTAGGGCCTTTAACGTGCACCACCCAGCAGTGATACACGACCGCACGTCGGTAGGATGCCCATCCAGATCTAAACGGGCTGGGGGGGGGGGCATAAGCCAAAGGTCCCTGGGATCTGCAGCGAAAGATTTCGCGCCGCGTGTTCCAAGCTGGCGTGCGCTAACCCACTCCGCCACTCGGTCTACGGCAGGACACACATGGGGTCGAGGTGCGAAACGGTCGAAGCTAGTCAACAGCTAAGGGTACCCTCCTGATGGTGGGAAAGGACCAACGAGGTCATTGTGTACATGTGCGAATAATGCATCCATATTAATAACTGATGCAATCGAAGTGGTTGAGTGGCAATAATGTTTGGGTCGCTGACATTACAGGAATGTACAAGTCCATTGAGGAATATCCATGTTCATTCTAGGCCACACGCACCGCGTTGTGATTAAACGCTGAGTGGCCCAAATGAAAGTAAATAATTGAGAAAGGTACATGCGCTAAACTGTTCGTCCGAAAGTCATGTAGTACATATGTTCGAGGCGTATCTGCAGACGTGTCACTCACCAAAGTCACTATTTGAGTCTTTGTGAACATTTCCCAAGACAAGTGATGCTGACGATGACAGAAGTTACTGAAGATTTGAGTCCAGTTTGTGTTCCGTTGCGACTCAAGAAAAATCGATGGAAAGATTTGGGGAGCAGGATGTGTCAACAGCTCCCCTTATAGTGTTGAGCAACTACGTTGTGCAGACTAGAAATATTCCGAATATCTGCAGTAAATTAAGAAATTAAATCAAGGTTTTAAATTTCCTATGGTGAGTGCGTGGAACAAAAGGAAGTACCTGATCGAGAGGTATATCATCAGCAGCTCTGGGCCCAACGTGCTATAACGTTCCTGGACTGGTGATAAAGCATGGGAGAAAAATTCAAATGGACGGTATTGACCATAAACATAATATTGACGCACCGCTCCAACTGCCATGTCAGAAGCGCCCACCATCAGTGTCGACTGAGCCTCACTTTTTGGACGAGTAAAAGGAGTAGCACCAGCAAACTGTTTATTAATGCTGCTGAATATATCAGCTGTGCCATATTTTCACAAGATCTGCGGTTTTACACATAACTTCGTGGAGGAGAGCGTTCAGCAGATTAAGGGTCGCAGCTGCACCTGGCAACATTTGAAAGAAGACGTTGAGTCGGCCGAGAAATTAAGGTAGCTTACGTATAGTTGATAGGACAGGAGTCTCCCGGCTGCCTTGAGTTTGAGATGTAAGGGGACGTACTACATTCTTGCTGGGGTGATGGCGAAGGAAATTAGTTCTGGCACGCCAAACGCACATTTTCTGAGTTCTACGGCGAAGTCATGTTCGTCTAATCTTGAAATTAGTTTCTCATAATTCTTCTTGTATTCTTCTGGAGTGTGGCTGTAGAAAAGAATGTCATACAGGTACACGAAGCAAACCAAGAGCCCCCGACGGATATGGGTGAAAAAGAATGACTTGCATATTCTCTTTCAAGACCGTTTTTCTAAATGTATGTAATTCTTTTGCTTTCAGAATGCTAATACAGTAAAGGACTTACAATTGCACAGCGTCGTAGCGAATATAATGTCGAGAAACGATTTCCAGAAAGACATGTGCCGTCTGAACAAGGCGGGAAAATACGCTCGTATCCTAAAAAGGATACGCACGCTTCTCGTTTTTTGAGCGAGATTTTGCGAAGACTTCACTGAGGCTTGTCAATCACCCGAACGAGAAACGGGGACGCTGCCAATGGCAGCTCGTCATCGCTGTCCCGTCCGACCTTCGAGGTGGAGCGAGCTTTTGGAGGATTTTAGTCCATTCTGTATTGCCGTCAAAGCCGAAAATAAAAAAATAAAAACAAGCGCGGCGGCAAACGATAACTCACAGGCGGAGAAGGGGTGCGTACGGGCAATAATGTTTAGGCGCAGTACGTCTTGGTTGCACGGTGCAGATTCCACAAGAGTCGCGAGAAGAGAAAGCACGAAATAACTGAATTTTGAGCGGTTAAAAAATTCCCAAAATACTTCGAGATAATATGCGTGTCCTTTGACGTTCGCAGTATTTCCTCGGTTTGGCAAGCCGGGCCAACCGATTGTGCCAAATAGACGAAGTTTATGAAGTCGTATTATTAAAGACGAGTGTAACTTCATTTGCGAACTTGATATCATTCTGATGCGAAACATTTGATGTTTTCGCCGAAGATGACAAGGTTTGGTGAAATTCTCTCAATAGTTCACGGACTTTGCGCGTTAAACTCGACATGAGAATAGGCCGAGTTCCCGAAATATTGGCTTCGAAAAACCTTTTCGCTTTGTAAAGATGCATTCTGTGAAGAAGCCTTAAGACATTCATCAAAGTTCAAGTTCAAAATTTTACGTCAAATTAATAGTGAGTCTAATCTAATCTAATCAGTTAAATGGTACTGAGAACATCTGTACTTTCTTGCATCATGCATCATATAGATATGAGTTACCAAATACACGCCGTTGCAGCGCCTTCCCATATCGGAAAAGAGATTGAACCCAGGGTCACAAGCAGCGAGCAAAACATTTACTGCACAGAATGCTTTCCTCACTGATTGTGACTCTGAGGCTGGACCAATCTAAAGCTGAAAAAAGAAGCTTATTCGGCGGACTTATGCCAGAAACCAAAGGAAGAACAAACGTCGGAAAAGTGGCAGCGAGCATCGGCGATAGTAGAATGGAACAACGCTGCGTCGGCGTGAGAACCCGCTAGCGCAAAAGTGGATGAGTCGACAATGCAGCGCTCGGCTCTTTATCCACTGCACTGAGTATTTCTAATACTGTAAACGACTTAACTTTTGCGAAGCCCAAATTTTCCCGAATTTCGCAACTCGTCTACAATTTGCGGAAAATAGGTCCTGCCAACAATTCTGGTAAAATGTATAGACAGTGTAATCTATATTGGGATCCCACCGCGTTGCAAAAATTAGAACCCGCGAATCGTTTGAAAAACATGAGCCTTGACCTAAAACGTGAAATACTGAGACCGCGAAAAGTAAGTCGTTTACGGTATTCGACCTAGAAGGTCGGGAGTAAGCTTAGGCGAGCCCAACTAGGCAAGGCCCTTCTGGCCTCCTTATCTTTCACATTCGGAATACGAATAAGCACGAATCTTCTAGACGCAATAAGAAGCGTTATTTGTCGGTCATGCATGCTGCAATATCAATTTCATAAATGCAGATACCGCGTCATTGAGGGCCGCCTCCACTTCGGTTCAGATGAATATAGAGAGTGCTTAAACTTGCGGCCCCAAAAAAAGCAGAATTTTAAAACCTGAACCACAGAAATTATACTGTAGTCGCCAATCTCACCTCAAAAGCCCTTTAGAAGGCAACAAAACACAGAACTGCTAAACCTAAAAACTATATTAGGTAGCACGTATCAGCCTAAGTTGACAGTTCTGACGCTTTTTATATTTTTCAAAACAAGATGGCAAACGCAAATTAACTTGGTTGAAAATATACAATTCCGCATAGATTCCACCCTGAATGAACACAGCGGCAACTCGACATGTTAAATAGTGTTGTCAAACATAGATCCATCTACAAGGCACAATTGTGCGCGAAAGAGTCAGCCAGGAACCCAACACCTGTTCCACTTGGCATAATATTTATACGCAGTGAATCATAAAAATAGAGCGCAAGGGGATTCGAAGCTGGCAGATAGTATTCACAATTAGCTGAGAAAGAAGTTGCTATGCATGGGGGCCCACTCCTGGATATTGATTCTAGCCTTAGTCCTGCGATTTGTTTCTTATTCAAGATGCCAGACACGATCGTTTGTAATTGACAAAGAAAACAAATGTTTTCGAAAAGACAACCAATTTTTCCGCTACATATCAGGTGAAATAGATTACTTCAGGGTTCCGAGGGCATACTGGAAGGATCGCCTGCACAAGATGCGGATGGCAGGTCTCAATACCATAGCCAGCTACGTCGAGTGGAGCGGACACGAACCTCAGCCTGGGAAGTTAAACTTTGTGGACAACTACGATCTGGTAGAGTTCTGCAAAGAAGCCCAGCGAGAGGACCTCCTGGTGATCCTTCGTGTCGGCCCTTACATCTGCGGTGAGAGAGACAACGGTGGATTTCCTTCTTGGCTCTACAAAACAATTGCGCCCAATAAGTTCCGAACGACCGACAAGGTCTTTATGGACGCTACCGAGAAGTGGTTGGGTGAACTGTTACCGAGGATAAAAGGAACGTTCTACAAAAATGGTGGTTCGGTAATAGCTCTTCAAGTCGAGAACGAGTACGGGATCCAAATGTGCGACAGCGCTTACATGCCTGGAGTTTACAATATATTCAAGAAACAAGTCGGAGACGATGCCATCTTGTTCACTGCTGATTATTGGAGGAAGAAAGACCACAACTGTGGAGGAGTTCATGGTGTTCCAAAAGCTGCCAACATGTACACATCCGATTACGTGAGCACCGTTCAATCACAGATGGATTCCATAAATTCCCAAGGATGTCCACTTTTCTTAATGGAATTGTATACAGGATGGTTTTTACGGTGGGGTGATGCGCACGAGAAAGGTACTCCGTCTAAATTTATGGACACGTTTAAGGAACTAATGCGCAGAAATGCTTCCGTCAACATCTACATGTTTCACGGAGGGACAAACTTCGGGTTTAGTGCACCCTCAAGAGAAGGCAGTCCTCTGGTCACCAGCTACGACTACAACGCACCACTCTCCGAAGCGGGAGATCCGAGGGATTTGTACCACAAGTTAAGGGACATTATCAAGGACTTTGCTCCGTTACCGCCGGGAGACGTGCCAGTCGCTTCTACAAAGCTTAATATCGGAGTTGTAAATTTAACCGAAGGAGTATCGCTCATGGAAGTAATAGACCATTTCCGAGCAAATGGCTGGATCAAGAAGTATGAGCAGTCTATCCCAATGACGTTCGAAGACATGGGCCAGGACTATGGCTTCGTCATGTATACAGCCAAGGGCAAGGAAGGTCTCTCCAGGAATCCTACTCTGGTCGCGTCTGGCATTAAGGACAGAGCCTACGTCGTTACAAATGGCAGTATACATGCTCTCGACTCAAATCATAACCGCCAAATCTTGCATTTTAAGGAGGGCGAAACTTTTGCTATACGCGTATTTGTGGAAAATCTTGGCAGGGAGTTTTTCAAAATAGGGAAGGACCCAAAGGCAAGTATTTTAGCTATAACTTTTCATTTTCTTTTTAATGTCTGATTCTTTGACATAGAATTACGTCTTTCTTCGTGCCTGGAAGGGGGTGCAAAGTTACCCGATCGATGTCACGAAATTGTGGTCACGGAAGTGACGTCACTCTGACAGCACCGGAGCGCCCACCGATTTGCATAGCCGTGCTCCCTGACGGCGCGCCGTGCCTGCTGCCGAGAGCCACGCAGTTAGGTTTGCGCAGTACAGGGGCCCTAATCTGGACACTTGGCGGAAAAGCCGGCGAGAAATTCGGCGGCTATAATTTATCGGCGCCAAAGTCAAGTGTGGCGTTGGCCAATCACGGCCGCCAGATTTCTCGCCGTCGTTTTTGCCAAGCGTCCAGCTTAGGGCCCCAGCAATTCAGATCACATTCTCACACACCTTTACATTTGCACTCTCTTCGGAGGACCGCACGAGCTTAACGTCATCCTAGAGGTTGTCCTTGATGTCGTCCTTGACATCGCCTTTGACGTCGTCCTCAAGGACGTCTTCCTGGACTTCGTCCTTGAAGTCGCTCCAGAGGTCCTCCTGGAGGAAGTCCTAGAGACCATCCTAGAGGTCGTCTTTGACATTATCATTTTGGATATTGTTTTTAATGTCGTCCGAAACGCCGTACTCGAGTTCCTCCTAGATGTCGTCTTTGACGTCGTCCTCTAGGACGTCATTATTGAGGTCGTCCTAGAGGTCGTCCTTATCGTTTTAGAGGTCGTTCTAGACGTAGCCCTCGACATTGTCTTTGAAGTCATCCTTGAGAGCGCCCTAGAGGTTGTCCGAGACGTCATCTCTGAAGTCGTCCTCTCGTACGTCGTCTTTGACGCCGTTTTAAACGTCGCGCTTGAGGTTGTTTTTGAGAATGCTATCGCAATCTATAGACAACCAACAAGAGCGGTTTCTGTAGCAATTTTATTTCTGCTGGCTTGCTCGTTTCCTCACATCAACGCAACGCGCTCCTGTTTTATTCAAACGACGATGGACGCTGCTGCGGCAGCCGTAATTCCGCAACCTTTGCTTATCAACCTGAACAGCGGCCGATCGGTTGAGCTCACGTCTCCCGTGGCACAGGCAGTTCACGGGACTCTCAGGCGCGAATCGGTGAAGGGTTAACCCCTCAGATTTCTTGTTCCACCAACACGTAGTTCGACCGAAATTTGTGTGACATTATCATCCCATTTGGCGACCAATTTTTATCCGCAGTGTAAATCAATGTCGCGAAACCTGAAAGTCAGGCCGGCTTTATGCTATCTAAACACGAACGTCTAACTCATTCGTCGCGCAATTTCTGAGTTGTGAAGCTGCTGTTTTATATAAAAAAAAGTGCAGACAAATCAGACGTAATAATAAACACAAGAAAACGCAAAAAGAAACTGTTCGTTTCTAAATAGCTTACAAATATCATTTGATTTTAACGCGAGACTGGCGCAGGAAGAGAAATATTTTATACAGTTGAAGAAAACGTAAAAGGGACAGACAGCGTCTCGAACTCAGTTAATCATTTTATTCAACCAGTCTCCTTATATACAAAACTACAACCGCAACAAAACCACCGTACTTGCTGTTTTTTTAAAGTAGGGTGCAAAATATAGCCACCTTGTCTAAACCGAAAGGTGGTTTTGCCTTGTAGGTTGCATCCCTTAGTTTGTCTAAGGGATTCCACCTACAAAGCTACCATCATTGTGTTTGTCATGTTTATGTACGTGTTCTCTTATCGTTGAACTCTTGATAAACCAAAAGGACCTCTTGACTTGAGCTTTTGACTGTACTTGATTGGTCCCATTGGCTCGTACCGGCGGCTGCGTCTGAAGTTAATTTGAAACGAAGTATTGTCCCTTACTCCTCCCTCATTACCAAAACGAGACGGGTTACATTAGTGATACTCTTTGCTGTGCTCAAACCTTATCTACATAATAAAGTTGTGCGCTTCCAATACTTTATAACTTTAGACAAATTTTAGCGGAACTAAGTTCCCAATAGCGGCATAATATTTGCAAAAACACTGCTTAAACTCCCGTAACGCAGGCAAGCCCCGTTGCTCCTCCACAAAGAAAAAGCAAAAGTCACACATTATTTGAAATGCATTCAGTTTGATCATCCATTTTGTTTATGTAGCTGTTGGCTGACATACTTTCTTTTCTAGGGTATCACAGGCCGAGTGACACTGAATGGCCACAAGGTGGAGGGTTGGACCATGGAAGCGGTGCCGGTGGTTGAAAACAGAGACGTCAGCCTGGTCATGCAGTTCCTTGACAACCGGAGCAGCCCAGAGGTTCCAGGCTTCTTCCATGGCAGATTCACGCTCCCGCCAGGAGAGGGCATTATACGAGACACCTTCCTGGACCCGACGGGTTGGAAACACGGCGTCGCCTTTATCAACGGAATCCACCTGGGCCGCTACTGGCCCAGGGCAGGACCTCAAGTGACACTGTACCTTCCGGGTGCCTTCATGCTTCCTTATCCCATGGAAAACAGGCTTTTTTTGTTGGAAATGGAAAGTGCACCCGAAAATAAAACAGTGAAACTGGTAGACAAGCATGTCCTCAATGGGCGAGTCTAATACGAAGTAATATTTTTGGTGAACCGTCTAGAATAATGAAATGGAAACTTCTGTGCGCCTAGGTGCAACCCAAGTAATTGCGCGAGCCATCAACGGTGGCAATAAAGGACTTTGTAAAAACGAAACACTACTCATTACTTCCACTTCATCACATAACTCAAAAATAAAAGACAGAAAGTAAGTACTCCAAGTGACTCTGAAATTTGGGTACTTGCCAGTATCTATCTTCCAAGTTTGGATATTTTGGGCCGCCCGAAACTTTCCGAGCTGCCAGGGTGCTCTGAAGTTTCAAGTAGACACGCTCTCCAATGCTCTTACTAACTCTGATTAAGGTACTGCACTGGTCATTAAGATCATACGAAACACACAAACTATGTTCCATTTGTTCGAGTACAGTCCTGGCGGCAGCCGAAAAACTGATCCATGACGTATTGCTTCAGTGTACATCCTGAGCAGACGAACCCGACCGCTCAAAGCAGTGACCGTTACTGGAATGGGGACGATGCAGCACATGGCATGTAGGACGAGCTACGTGTTTCGCGTGATTTGCTCAGGTGACTGGCGAAATTGTCAGTTATTGGGGTCATTTAGTAAAAAACAAAATGGCTACAGATGTAGTCTTTCAATCACTTGAGGTAACCACAGCGACATATGCATATTTGTATGAAAGATTGGCGACGAGTGAATATTGGTTGTCTGCACGAATTCCGGTGGTATCGACGGTGCAGTCACATTTTTGACGTACATTGAGCGGCCTGCTTTTTTGAAACTTTTCTATAATAACACCAACATATTTTATTTTCAATGTACAGACAGATTGGCAGCTCTTGTGCACAATTATCAATGCATAGTGCCAAATTGCACAGATACTATATATATTTATAAAGGCTTTTGCTGAATGCATATAGCTACTACACTGCAAGAATATAGTTACATTTTGCTTCGTTCTAGAGTAATGTGAAAAATAGTATTCTTTATTTTCGGACAGCATCCTAATCATTTATCTAGATAATCAATGTAATTTTTTATTACTTTTCTTGCTCTGCTTGTTTTTCGATATTTATTGCTATACTTTATAAAATACTGTAACTTCAATCAAGCGTAATTCTACCTTTGGCAAAGTTCTTTGGTTTATCTAGATACGAATGCCGTTTCTTGTTAATCTAAGTAAAAAAAAAACAGATTTTGTAATTTAATACGTTTTTTTCACAATGCCCGCAGTAGAATTACTCTGAGCACGCTGACAGAGTAAGACGTTCGTCTACAAGAAAGTTCGGCATCATATGCCTAGGCTGTATTCAATCCGTCTATTCAATAGGTACTCAAAACATGTTGACTTGAGTGCATCCTGCATCATGCAAACCCTCTTTTAACATTATATGCGCCAGAAAATTTTAAGATAAAAAATAGAAAATTGAACTGAACGTCACGGTTAGTTAATAGTGTGTTCCTGCATTTCTGCCAACACTTTGTCACTTGAAGATTCGGATGTATACTGCAAACGCTTAACAGTGTGGCTGTAAAAAGAAGAAAAAAGGCTGTGAAACCAGTTTCACTGTAATTGTACTAAATTTACTGATCCTTGTTACTTCAATAACTATTTAAAAACCCACACAGCGTACAAATACGAAAGAAATAACAACAACTTAACGTATTGTGTAAAAGTCTAGAATTTACATTTCTAATTTTGCTTTCCCAAGAAAATGAACACGTTTTATTATTTTTACTGAAATATTACTTGAATGTTTAACAACGCTCTCATTTAGCGGCACCTCGACAGCTTAATGACTTTAAAAGCCGTCCGCTAAATATGGCGCCATTTCTGCTCAGAAGACTCAGCAAAGTACGAACACTTGTTCAAGACAGCATAACATTTATATAATGTAGAAGCTCATAGAAAGCACACATTTTTAAGTAGGTGGACATCATCCATAATTAGCTGAGAAATAAGTGGTTTAAGACGGGAGCCTGCTCCTGCACATTTACTCCAGCTATTGTCCTCCCATTTGATTTACGTCACAATCTTTACTGAAAAAGTTGTTTTACCGAAATTTCATTTCCAGTGAAAAGTCTATTTCACTGGATTATGCGACTCCTTTCACTTCCAGTAAAGCCGGAATATACCGGTAGTCAACGGATTTGCCGCAATTCACCGGAACATACCGTGTTTTTTTTGTTTTTTTTTTGTTCTTTTTTTTTTGGGGGGGGGGGGGTGTCAACCGAAGGCACTTAGGAAGAAGCCTCTGAGCTGTGGGTGGTGTATGCTCATCAGATACTGGACAATTCCATAACAATTTAAACGGTTAGTCCATATAGTCCTGAAAGTTATGTCTTTTTGTTCACATGGTCGATATCAGTGAAACGATTTGCACAGCTGTAGAAAAAAGTAATCAGAACAAATAGGAACAACCAAGTTCTTTGTCGCAAATAATATCTGTCAAGCAACTCACAATGCCACTGGGTAAATTCCTAGATGTACGGTAGTTCAACTAATAAAGCCGAGCAGGTGCACCACACAGACACACACACGCCGTCAGTAGCACGTGCGTTTAGCGAAAACCACGAACGCGCACCAACATCCGCCGCCGTTGAGGAAACATCATGGACACAGTCACGGTGTCGTCACCGATGCCGTCGCCACGGGTGCACCACGCGGACACATACACACTCTCAGGAGCACGCTTAGCGAAAACCAAGAACGCGGCGAACTAACATCCGCCGCCGTTGAGAAACCAAGGGCACAGTCACGGCGTCTCCGGCGTCTTTTTCGCTCACTGGATGCTTCTGAAATCGGAGGGACAAAGAGGCGTAAGAAAAAGGTCACTAGAAGATATTTTATTTTTATCCGGACACCCAGCTGCTTTTTGAAGATGCAGGTCGCACACATGAAGCGGGAAGCAGACATTGAGCGTCCTTTTGTTGCCGCTCGTTGAAATACAAAGAAAACAGTTTTCTTCAAACCCAATGCAAAGGAGAGGGTGCATGGGGACTCAACGTTGCTGCGTTCTAGGCACTATAATTGCAGACCCAGTCCCCGGCTCGTCTCGGCTTCCGCATTCCCTCGCGTCGGCTTCCAGCAAAGTTGAGTAAACGGGGAAACGAGTCACTCGTTTCCGGTAAAAATTTCCAGCAGAGTTCGGTCGTCTGGTAAGCAAAAGTGGCTGTGGCTGAAATTCCGGCAAATATTCCAGCAAAGACTGGTAAACTACCCTGGTTTCGGATGAGAACGGGCAAAACTTGACCAGTTTTGAGCGGATATTACTGGAAGTTCACCGGATGCCACGGGAAGTTCACCGGATGTCACTGGAAGTTCACCGATGTCACTGGAAATTTTTGTAGGATTTTTCAATAGGGTATGCATAGGAAATTGGTGGCATCAGAAAAAAAAGAAAATGTCTTCTCCACGACAAGTTTTTCCGTTACATTTTCAGATATATAGTTCACTTCAGGGTGTCAGGGCATACCAGAAATGTTGTCTTGACAAGATGCGGATGACAGGTCTTACAACCACAGCCAGCTACGTCGAGTGGAGTCGACATGCTAAAGTTAAGCATTGTGGACAGCTATGATCCGGTAGAATTTTGCAAAGAAGCTCGGAGAGGGGACCTTCTGGAGATCCTTTTTATCCGCTCTTATATCTGCGATGAAAAAGACAACTGACGTCCTTCCTTGCTTGGGAGCAAAATAGCACCTGATAACTTCAGAACGACCGACAAGGAATTCATGGACGCCACGGAGACGAGGCTAGGTGGATTGTCCCAAAAGATAAAAGGTAAGTTGTACGAATATGGTGGAACTGTATGGGCCCTTCCAGTAGGAAAGAATATAGATTTCAAATGTGCAACAGATATAACATGATTTACACGGAAAGAATAAAAAAGTGAAATGTACGAATGACAGACACTCAGTGTTCTTGTGTCGTCACTCCATTTCAGATTTTCTTATTTGTGTGAACTGTATTTTAGCCGACGCGCTCTGCTACGTGCAGACTTGTACGTAACACGTTACAAGTAATGGATTAATCGTAATCGATTACATTTTGCTGTAATTTTGTAACACCTCAATTACTTCCGTTAAGGAGTAACGATCCTTATAACTTGTAATGGATGCTGTAATCGATTACAAAATTACCTATTACAACTCTTCTCAATTTGTTTTTTCGGGGGGGGGGGGGGGGGGGGGGTTTAGAATTGCGTGTGTCACTGAGCTTTGGGCAACGGTCGATTCTTTTCTCTCTTTTTCGAAACTACTAAGCACGGACCTCGAGGGTTAGTAATTAAGGCACTTCACTATGGGGGGGGGGGGGGGGGGGGGGGGGGCTTCGTTTCCTAGGTATTTTTTTTTTGTACACCGGAGGCTACGCTCGGGTTGGAAAAGTGACCTTATCCAGCCTCTTGCGAGTAATGTATTTAAGCAGCGCTCTTTTTATTCAATTTTTTTTTCGCGAGAGGGATTGGGTGTGTTGGCATCACTTACTGCAACTCTTAGCAAAAAAAAAAAAACTGAGCGCGAGATACAAAGGATTATGCTTCCGCAATAAAAAAAGCTGAATGAAAAGTAACTTGGGAAGTAATTGATGACTTTAAAGTAATCTTTCAATTCCTTTCTTGAGACTGTGATTGTAATTGTAATCGGTCACTTTTTATAGGGAAGTAATTGTAATCGGTTACTTTTTACAGGGAAGTATTTGTAATTGTAATCGTTTACTTTTTTCAGTAACCTGTACGCATCTGGCTACGTTTATTAGATATTACATGCCTGAAGTTTACAAGATATACGAAAAAACAGGTCGGGGACGTCATGTTCTTGTTCACTCACTGAAGACAAAAAGGCCATGACTTTTTACAAGTCGAAGATCTTCCAAAGCCTTCGATACGTAACCATCCATCTCCGTGGACAATATTCAATCAACAATATATGTTGATGCTGTCGGGAGACATTCCAAGCGCTCTTCAAAAGCTAAATATCGGAGTTGTAAATTTAACCTATGGAATACAGCT